CAGGATAGCTCCATTTCCTACCCCCTTCCTTTGTGCAATACTCTCATTTATGTTACATTTACATAGGTTATAAACCCAACAGTACAATGTTATAATTATTCCTTAAGCAATCTTATGGTTTTTTTGAATTAAGAGAATATCCCTTTCGTATTTACTAGAGTATTTCCAATGCTCTTCATTTCTTCTTGTGGACCCAAGTTACCATCTTTTTTTTTTTTTCAATACTGACTATAAGGTAGGTCTCCTGGTAATGAATTCTTTTTTTTATATATAACAGCACTGCTATTTCATCTTTATTTTTTCAAAGATAGTTTTGCTAGATATAGAATTCTTGGCTGGTAGTTTTTTTCCTTCAACACTCAATATGTCACTGTACTGCCCTCTGGCCGCCAATGTTTTTGTCAGCAAATAGTACTGTTCTTTCGTACATGACAAGTCATTTTTCTCTTGCTGCTTTCAAGATTCTCTTTGCTTTGGGTTTCAGCAGGTTGACAACAATGTGTCTAGATATGGTCTGCTGTGTTTATCCCACTTGGGATTCACTAAGATTCCTGGGTCCACAAATATTTTTTTTTTTTGTATCAAATCTAGGGAAGTTTTCAGCCATTATTTCTTTGAGTATGTTTTTTCCTGCCCTTCTCTTTATCCGGGACAGCCATTATTACATGTATGCTCTGGAACATCTGACACTGACCCACAGATTTCCTATGTACTGTTCATTTTTCTCTAATCTTTTTTCTTTCTGTTCTTTAGATTGGATAATTTCTATTAATCTTTCAAATCCCCACTCTTTCTTCTGCCATCTCAGATCTGCTTCTGAGCTCATCTGGTGAAAGTTTTAGTTATACTTTCCACTCAAGGGTTTCCATTTGGTTCATTATAGTCTCTACTTATTGAGATTTCCTATTTGACTCATTGACAGTGTATTTTTAATTCTTTAAATATACTTCCTTTAATTCTTTGAACATATTTATACCTGCACTGAATTTATTGCTCAATCCAACATTTGGGCCCACTAAGAGTTGATTTCTACTAACTTTTTTCCCACTTCTGTATGGGTCACATTTTCCTGTGTTGTTGAAAACTACATTTAGATAATATAGTAAAACCAAGTCTTGTTTAACTTTTCTGAGGATTCTTTGTATTTAGTTACTTATCAGATTTAAAAGGTACTATCTGCCTTTCCCAAGATATTCAAATATTGATGTCTCTGTTCAATCATTTTATTCTTCTTAGCCTGGCTTCCCAGGGACTACCCACTGTCAATATAGCTTAGTGGTAATCCAGTAATTGGGGCAAAGACTATGCTCAAATACCTGAGCCCATAAGACTTTCACTTTCTGCTGATCTGTTGGGGGGCGGGGGCTGCATTCAAATTTACAATCAGTTCTGAAGTTTGGGCTCTCTCACATCTCCTCTGCACAGTGGGATGTATACAGAGTGTATCCAACCATTCTATGGCCCTCATGCATATAGTATTGTTCAATTTGTTAACATTTATTTACTGTGTTATCTCTTCTTACTCCTTTTCCTCTCAGTTGACCCTTAAACATCACATGTCTTTTTGGCCATCTGGATGTCTTTTTTGGAGAAAAGTCTGTTCATGCCTACAATTTTTTAATTGGGTTATTTCTCTCCTGGGTGTTGAGTTGTATCAGTTCTTTATATATTTTGGATATTAACCCTTTATCAGATATGTCATTTGCAAGTATCTTTTCCCATTCCACAGGTCACCTTTTAGTTTTGTTGACTATTCCCTTCATTGTGCAAAAGCTGTATATTTCGATACAGCCCCAATCATATCATATATTTTGGCTACTCTTATAAAGCTAAAAATATACAGTTATCATATGACTAACAATCTTATCCTAGGTATTTAACCCAGTGAACTAAAAATGTACTTTCACACAAAAATCTGTTCACAGATATTTAAAACATAAAACAGCTCCATTCATAAATGATTGAACCTCGAAACAACCTTAATATCCTTCAACAAGTAAACAAACTGTTGTATACCCTTACAAGAGAATACTACTCAGCAATAAAAAGGAACTAACTACTGATACAGAATTACTTCAAAGGATTTCAGAAGCAGTATTGTGAATGAAAGAATGTAGTCTCAAATAGTTACTATACAATTCCATTTCCATGACATTTTTGAAAGGACAAAACTAAAAACATACCAGTAACTGCAAAAAGTAGCAATTGACAAGAAGAGTTTTTTGGAGGTTACACAAGTGTTGTATATCCTGATTATGGAAGTAGTTTTTAAAAACCCATACATATGTGTTGAAGTTCGGTGAACTACTCAGGAAAAAAAAGTCAATTTTACTGTATTGCTAATTTTTAAAATTAAAAAGTTTTATTTATTTATTTTTAAGATTTTATTTATTCATGAGAGAGACAGAGAGAAAGAGGTATGATAGAGAGAGAGAGAAAGAGAGACAGAGGGAAAAGCAGGCTCCATGCAGGGAGCCTGACGTGGGATTCGGTCCCGGGTCTCCAGGATCATGCCCTGGGCCGAAGGCGGCGCTAAACTGCTGAGCCACCTGGGCTGCCCCCAAAAAGTTTTAAAGTACAAATGTAAAGGTTAAAAAAAACTACTAACAAGTGGTTTTCATTAATATAAAGAAATATATCACTAACAAGTACTTCATTAATACACAAAAAGGTTTGGCTGATTCATTCAACAAATATTCTTAAACTATGGACTATGTGTCAAACACAGTTTTAGGAAATAAATATTAAAAAGAGCAGAATGAATATACTTTGCCTGTGGAATGGACATGAATTGGAGGAGACTAGATGTCAGACTATAGTGGGTTACATACATAGTGTTCCTTCAAAATTCATGTCTATCTAGAAGCTTTTAAAAAAAAAGATGAATGGAAATTAAATAACATTCCGTTTGATAAACATACCATGTATCATTATCTGACTAAATCCTCACAATTATTCTTAAAGGTGCATATTATTTTTCTCTTTCCCAAAGTAGAAACCAAATAAAAAATACTAAGTAGGGCAGCCCGGGTGGCTCTGCAGTTTAGTGCCGCATTGACCTGGGGCCTGATCCTGGGGACCCAGGATCGAGTCCCATGTCGGGTTCCCTGCATGGAGCCTACTTCTCCCTCTGCCTGTGTCTCTGCCTCTCTCTGTCTCTCTCATGAATAAATAAATAAAATATTAAAAAAAAAATACTAAGTAACATGCCTAAAATTGACAATAAGTACTTGAGCTAGAAATTAAACATAAGGGATCCCTGGGTGGCGCAGCGGTTTGGCGCCTGCCTTTGGCCCAGGGCGCGATCCTGGAGACCCGGGATCGAATCCCAAGTCAGGCTCCCGGTGCATGGAGCCTGCTTCTCCCTCTGCCTGTGTCTCTGCCTCTCTCTCTGTGACTATCATAAATAAATAAATAAATAAATAAATAAATAAATAAATAAATAAATAAATAAATAAATAAAGTGTGTCTAATTCAATGTTTGGCCAAACAGTAGGTTCAATTAATGTTGAATGAATGAATGCATGCAAAGTTATGCTCTATGACATCATGGTGCCTTTTGATGTATTTTTTCATTTTAAATGCATACATTCACGTTTAAAAGGGCAGAAGAGAATCTGGATGGTTTAAATTAAATGGTAATGTATTAAATTCACTTATATTTGTTTAAGATGTTTAAGTCCACAGTTTTTAAAAGATCAAGTAAAATTAAAGGCACATTTATTAAACAATATCCAATTTATTTGCATTTGCAATTAGTTTTCCTTTAATATGCTACATTCTACTTGCTATAGTAATCACACTAGAATGAAGACAACAGAATTAAAAGATATTATCATTTTCTCCTTTCTTAGAAATTCTTTAATAAAAAAAAAAATCAAGGAGCACTGGGGTGGCTTGGTTTAAGTATTCAACTCTGGATTTCAGCTTAGGTCATGATCTCAGGGTCCTGGAATTGGGTCCCGCATGGAACTCTACACATGGCATGCAATCTGCTTAAGGATTCAATCTCTCCCTCTCCCTCTGCCCCTCCCTCTACTCGCACACACATGCTCTCTCTCAAACAAATAAATCTTAAAAAAAAAAAAAAAAAAAATCAAGAGACCAACTCACACCAACAGACTAATATAAAACCAGTATATAAATTTATTTTAATTAGATCTCTTTTCTTGACCATACTCTCATACTTGAGACATTTTGGTGGTGGTATGCTTCAATACCATTCCCACCAAATTAAGATAAAAAGAACTTTAAGAGTGATATACCTCGTATTAATTTATCACATTTATAATTTAGAGAGAAGTCATGATGTTAGCATGTAACTGAGATCAACATTTTATTTCAATTCAATTTCCAACACATATTAAGTTTTCTATGATATGTAAATGTTCTATGTTAGTCATTAGAATGATAGTTAGGCTCTACTCTAGATTATGAAATACACTGTGCAGGAAAAAGTTAACAGCAGGCCTGTGTCTACTATCCTTAGAATGGCCTGCATGCAACGCTGAACTTCAGCAGGCTCCCAGGAATTTGGATTTGAAGAGGGTTCTCAAAAAACCCTCCAATAAGAGTTATTGTACTTAAACTGTTTGTACAAATAATGTGTTTTATGCTAAACATTTGCTCTCCTTCTAGGAGTCTGGAATTTTGTTATGTACCAGTCACAGGGTATCAGCCCCCAAATAAAAACTCAGAACAGAGCCTCCCTGGTAGAAAACATTTCATATGTGTTGTCAGAACTTGTTGCTAAGGGAATTAAGTATGTTCTATGTGACTCTATTAGGAAAGGACTCAGACACTAGTTCCTCCAAACTTTGCCTCAGGCACCTTTTCCCTGTGTTGATTTTGTTTGTGGACTGTCACTGAAAAAAACTGTCATAAGTACAACCCTATGCTGAGTTCTGCTTGTCTTCCTATCCAGTCACTGAACGTGGGGGACACACTGGGGTCTCCTGAACACACATACTAAAAGTTACCTGAATAAAACATATACCTACCATCTTACCAGGCAATGTGCTCTTGGAGGAAAGTCATTATTCATACACAACAAATCTTGCATAGACTGTGGAATAACATCTACAAAAACATTTAATAATGAAAAAATTAGTATGTTCATTCTAAGGTAAAATTTTATAACATGACTGAAAAAAATCACATATGTAACAGGTCTTGCTAATCCATGTCGTTTTACAATTGCTTAAAGATTTATATCTAGGAACAGCTCTAAGATTTGGGGTGAGATAGAGGTCTCTCTTTTATTTTTAAAAAGCCAGCTTCTAAAAACAAAACAAAAGTATTATTGCTATATGTATAATATTTTCCTTTCTTCAAAGTTATGACTCAAACGTTTCCTCATCCTTCCTAGAAAACCATGTTTTATCTGTTTTTTTTTTAATTTTTATTATTTATGATAGTCACAGAGAGAGAGAGAGAGAGAGAGAGACAGAGAAAGAGAGAGAGAGAGAGAGAGGCAGAGACATAGGCAGAGGGAGAAGCAGGCTCCATGCACCGGGAGCCCGATGTGGGATTCGATCCCGGGTCTCCAGGATCGCGCCCTGGGCCAAAGGCAGGCGCCAAACCGCTGCGCCACCCAGGGATCCCTTATCTGTTCTTTTTGGTGTGCCCCTGTCTCTACTTTTCTTCAAAATTCTTAAGAGTCCTGTCAACACCTTATCACTTATCACCTCCTATGGCTAGTCTTTGCTGGCCTCTGGCCACCTTAAGCGTTCTTACACAACCACTAACCAGCTTCCCACTAACTTATTACCCATGTATCTTTAACACTTCTGTTGCTATTTATAATAATATATGACATAAATGATCCTTACTTATTCATAAATGTGTAATAAATTTGAAAGTATAAAGAATATTTATTTGTTCATAAAAATATTTCCTTTTGCTCTATAGCCATAATTCCTTAGCAAATTTATATTTTGTTAATTTTCAAAAAGAATAGGAGAATACTAACGACTTGATGCTTTAGCTAAAGCAATAAACAATCCTAACAAAATAAAACTTCAGTGCTCAAATCTTCTGACCTGTGATAATATAGTTTTAAATGTGTATCTTCAAAAAAAAAAATTAAAAATAAATAAATAAATAAATGTGTATCTTCAAATTAAATGAATTGATGGTTTACTTTAACTTCTACCATTATGCATACACTTTCATCACAACCAACTGAAACTGCACACAATACATATACACCTGCAAAAATAACCTAAATCCATTCATCTTCTCTCATACCATAGTCCTCTATACGAGTTCACCTCAGAAATACTGATTCTAAACCTCATTATAAGAGCTTCTCCTTGATATACAATCCTTCCTCAAATTAACAGACTTAAGATTTCTCTACCTTTAACAGTTCCCTTCATTAGCAGAATGTTGGACCTAGAAATCTCTGGGCTACTACCAGTTCCCACCAGTTGTATATATTCCTCTCATCCCCTTCTTCCTAAAGTATACAAATTCATATTCTGGCATAATTATTTTATTTTGATATATAATTGTCTTACATATGTGTATATATGATCAATGCTATCTGTTCTAGTTTATCAATCTGTATGCAGATGCTATCTACTTGGTTTTGTTTCTAAGATGAATGCATATAATAAAAAAGGTTTTATAATTTTATTCCTATACAAAAGGCAAATATTTCAGGCCTATACTTACAAATGATAATCTGTTTTGACCAGAAAAAAGTCTTCTTAATTTATTTTTTCAAATGAAATATAATTGACATTTAACATTATATTACTTTCAGGTATACAATATAATAACAATTGTATACACTGGAAAATGATCACAAGTCTAGTAAACATCTGTCACTAGTTAACAATAAAAATTTCCTTGTCATAAGAACTTTTAAAATTTACTCTCTGCGCAACTTTCAAATACACAACACAGTACTATTAACTATAGTTACCATGCTATAGGTTATTTACATCCCTATGACTTACTTTGTAACTGTAAATGCGTACCTTTTGATCCCTTTCATCCATGTGGCCCACTCCCAATTCTACCTCTAGGAACCACCAATCTATTCTCCTAACTATAAGCCTAGTGAGTTTTGTTTTCACTTTTGCTTTTTTAGATTCTACATATAAAGAAGATCATACAATATTTGTCTTTCTCTTATTTCGCTTAGCATAATGCCATTAATTGCCCCAAAAAACTTTAACACACATTCTGCATATTTATTTATTTATTTATTTATTCATTTATTTTTATTTTTTTATGATAGTCACGGGGGGGGGGGGCAGAGACACAGGAAGAGGGAGAAGCAGGCTCCATGGAGGGGGAGCCCGACGTGGGATTCGATCCCGGGTCTCCAGGATCGCGCCCTGGGCCAAAGGCAGGCGCTAAACTGCTGCGCCACCCAGGGATCCCTGCATATTTATTTTTTGAATGAGTGAAGAAAGCTATCTGACTGACAGCTCCAAAACTCATACTTTTTCAATACCTTGGTCATTCATTATTACATGCAACTCTATCTCAAGACTGAGATTTTGGATGATTTGACCAATGAACAACTAAAAGCACCAATTACAGAGATTTGGAGCAATGTAACCTATGAGTAACCATAAATACCATTTACTGAGTACCTAGCACAGGCCAGGTAAGATAGGTGCTCACATTTACAGTTTCTCATTGAATCTTTCCATTAATCCTCCAGGTGATATTATTTCATTTTGCAAGGGAGATTAATACAGATTCCGAAAGGTCAAGCAGCTAGTAAGAAGAAAAACCTGAATTTTAATCCACTTGATCAAACTTACAAACTCTTTTACTTTTAAATCCTTCAAATCCCAGCTTAGTTGCTTAATTCTTCACTACATCTTCTCTGATCTGTTAAAACTGATCTTTTCTTCTTTGAACTTCAGTAGCACCTTACTTGTGCTCTGGGATGGCACCTATCATTTTCTATTTTCTACTTCTGACTACTGTTACTTATTTATAGACCATATCTCCTATACGGGGATATAAATTTTTTTTAACTGTGGGTTAAAAGGGCACTCAATAAATATTTGCTAATCTAAGTAATTTTGAAATGAATGCTAGTATGAAAGTTCCTCTAAAACGATCATATTCTATTTCAAATGTAGTGAAACAACTTTGCAAATGTAAAACCTCTCCAGAGGGCACTACTTAATTAAGAGACCTAAATTCATAATTCAAAATTATAATCACTCTTACAGTCAAGAGCTTCAAATGTGTAGTTAACAATTTACCTTCCAATACTTCATCCTTTCCTTCTTTATCAGCGGAGTCTTGTACAAGATAATGATGAGTGACTGAGAACTTGAAGTCAGCAAAGGAAATTTCATCTGATTTCTCTTCCCATGTGCCAGAAGTAAATATACCCTATATTTAACAATAAAATGGAAAAACATCCATGTTTAAAAAGAAAATTCCCTTAGAATATTAACCATCAAATGATATACAAAATTATAATTTTTGAGTAATTTTTGAGATAATATATAAAATCAAAAATACACAGTAAATCCCATGCTTCTTACATACAAAAAAAAAAACACCTCTCTACCATTAGCAGAATCTGAGTTACTTTTAGCTCAAAATGATAACATCTTATAACTTTTAAAATTTAGAAAAAATACATGACAATAAAACATACTATTATAAAAACCTCAAATCCAATAATATCATTATATAGTACAGAGCATTACTGGACATCAGAAACTGCTTAATAAAGAAGCAGTTTGTAGAATCAACTTTAAGTGACATAACATTTGTAGCACTTACTTACTTAACATATTTTTGCAACCATGTTTACCAAGCTTTGTTATTCAGATATTTTCATCTAAATAGCAACTCCCCGACTGGAAACATTTTAATTAAAGTTCCAAAGAGCCCCCTCACTTATACAACATAATCATAAAAAAGGATTTTTCCCATAGGCCTCTGATCTCCCATAAGTACCACTTCCACAGGAGGGATATAAAGTCATTACAGCATAGCACCACTGTGAGGCAGGAAATACCAACCCAGCAACTTGCCAAGCACAGATAGTCCCAAACTAGACAGAAAATATGTAAGAAATGATTCTGGGAGTTACTGGGTTTTTATAAAAAGTGTTTTCATGACCATACCTAATGTCAAAAATGTTTTATGTGTGTTCTTGGCAAATAATTCTAATTCTAAATGGAGTTAAAACATTGCTGCCCGCAATCTTTTTATTAAGAGAAAAATCACCATGTATGGTACATATCAAAAACTATAATTTTATATGTTGAGTTTCTCTAAAGTGAAGTTAACCTGTATTAAGACATATATGGCCCATACTAAAATTCTCAAATTGTAATAAGCATTATAATGATATGCATAAGAGCCTAGTATGCTATGTAGAATATGCACTATAAAGCAGTTAAGGATAAAACTAAGAACAGGGAGAAGTCCAGAAAATAAGAGATAAGCTCATTGGTCAAGCTTGCGAAAAAGCTGAACTACTCTATTTAAAGGACATAAAGAAATATTATCGGACCCTAATTCTGGATTCTGGGAACTACTATCAACCTTACCAACAGCCATATGAAAGAGGATTTGGTTGCATTCAATAAATAGGAGGCATCCAGGTTCTGTCTCCCAAATAGAATTCTGAAGATAATTAAACAGAAAAACAACACTCTAATCTCGCTCCTTCAACTCCAGTATGATGCAGTTCTTTGACACCATACTGATATTTATTATTAGAATCAGAAATAACAATTCTAGTTAAAAGTTAACCTAGTGATTCATCAAGAATAACCTCTGAAGGCCCTGATTAGACAATAAAAATAAGTATATATAATGGAAAGAAATAAAACTATCTGCATTCACAATGATCTGATATGTACCTAGAATATCCAAAGCAACCTACAAACTACTAAAACTAACTGATGAGCTTATGAAGTTGTGGAGTTCAAGATCAAAATATAAAAGCCATCTTTGGGGATCCCTGGGTGGCTCAGCGGTTTAGCACTGCCCTTTGGCCCAGGGCATGATCCTGGAGTCCCAGGATCGAGTCCCACACCAGGCTCCCTGCATGGACCCTGCTTCTCTCTCTGCCTGTGTCTCTGCCTCTCTCTCTGTCTATCATGAATGAATGAATGAATGAATGAATGAATGAATGAATGAATCTTAAAAAAAATAAAAAATAAAAAATAAAAAAAGCCATCTTTTAGGACGCCTGGGTAGCTCAGCAGTTGACTGCCTGCCTTTGGCCCAGGGCATGATCCTGGAGTCCCGGGATCAAGTCCCACACCGGGCTCCCTGCATGGAGCCTGCTTCTCTCTCTGCCTGTGTCTCTGCCTCTCTCTCTCTGTGTCTCTCATGAATAAATATTTTTTAAATAAATAAATTTAAAAATAAAAAATAAAACCCATCTGTATTTTTATAAACAAGCAGCAAACACTTGGAAAATGAATTTTTTTTTAAATACCACTCTTACAACATCAAAAGTAAATTAACTAGAAATACATATAATGAAATATAAGCAAAGAACTCTACCTAAGAATGCTTCAAAACATTGACAAGCAATATTAAAGACCTAAAAAGAGCTAAATGTACATGGACTGGAAGATAATCAGCATTAGGATGTCATTCTCTTCAAATAGATCTATAAATTCAACATCATCCTAATCAAAATCCCAGCAGGCATTTTGTAGAAATTGACAAGCTGATTCTAAAACTAACATGAAATCCAAAGGACTTAAAATACCTAAAATAATTCTGATGAAAAATATATTACCTGATTTTAAGATTTATTTTGCTATAGTAATTAAGACAATATAGTATAAAGACAAACAGATCAATAAAACATAATAATTCAGAAGTACATTCACACATATACCTCATTTTACAACAGAGGAGCTACTGCAATTCACTAGGGAAAGGATGTTTTTTTCAACAAACAGTCCTGGAATAATAAGATATTAACCTGGAGGAAAACAGAGAACTGTCTTTAAACCCTTGAGATAGGCAAGATTCCTTTGACAGAACACAAAAGGCACTAACAATAAAATTAAAAATTAATAAAATTAGGAATACTCAAATATATAAAATAGTTAATAACAAACATAAAGGAACTAATTGATAATAATACAATAATAGTAGCAGACTTTAACACAACATTTATCTCAATGGACAGATCAACTAAACAGAAAACCAACAAGGAAACAATGGCTTTGAATGACACACTGGAACAGATAGATTTAATAGATTAACTCAGGATATTCCAACATATAACAGCAGAATACATCTTTTTAAGTGCACAGGGAACATTCTCCAGAACAGATCACATTTTAGGCCACAAAACAAGCCTCAACGAATCCAAAAAGAATGAAGTCATACTATGCATCTTTTCTGATAAAACACTATAAAACTAGGAGTCAACCACAAGAAAAAAATCTGGAAAGACCACAAGTACATGGACATTAAATAACATCCTACTAAACAACAAATGAGTCAACCAGGAAATAAAAGAAGAAATAATAAAGTACATGGGAAAAAAAGAAAATGAAAACGTAATAATGGTTCAAAACCTTTGGGACGTACCAGAAGCTGTTCTAAATGCGAAGTTTACAGCACGTCTTCCTCAAGAACCAAGAAAAATCTCAAACAACCTAACCACCTTACATGTAAAGAAACTTTTTATAAAAAGAACCATTAACAAAACCTAAAACCAGCAGAAGGCAGGAAATAATAAAGATTAGAGAAGAAACAAATGAAATAGAAATCTAAAAAAAAAAATTAAATAGATCAATGAAATCAGGAGCTGGTTCTTTGAAAAAAGTATCAATAAAATTGATAAACCTCTAGCCAGATTAATCAATAAAAAAAGAGAAAGGCTCAAATAAATAAAATCACAAATGAGAAAGGAGAAATAACATCAAAGAAATACAATTATAGGAGAATATTAAGAGAAACTATATGCCAACAAATTGGACAACCTAGAAGAAATGGATAAATTCCAAGAAACACATAAACTATCAAAACTGAAAGAGGAAGAAAGAGAAAATTTGAATAGACCAATAACCAGAAAAAAACTTAAATCAGTAATCAAAACTCTCCCAAAAAACTCAAGTCCAGGACCAGATGGCTTCACAGATGAAATCTACCAAACATTTAAAAAGTTAATATCGGGATCCCTGGGTGGCGCAGCGGTTTGGCACCTGCCTTTGGCCCAGGGCACGATCCTGGAGACCCGGGATCAAATCCCACATCGGGCTCCCGGTGCATGGAGCCTGCTTCTCCCTCTGCCTGTGTGTCTCTGCCTGTCTCTCTCTCTGTGTGTGACTATCATAAATAATAAATAAAAATTAAAAAAATAAAAATAAAAATAAAAAAATAAAAAGTTAATATCTATTCTTCTCAAACTATTCCAAAATATAGAAAAGGAAGGAAAACTTACAAATTCATTCTATCATACCAGCATTCTCCTGATACCAAAACCAGATAAAGACACCACAAAAAAAAATGTAGGCGAATATCCTTGAAGAATACAGATGCAAAAATCCTAAACAAAATTCTACCAAACTGAATACAATACGTTAAAAAAAAAAATCATTCACCCTATCAAGTGAGATTTATTCCAAGGATGCAACGGTGGTTAAATATTTGCAAATCAAAGTGATACATCACATCAATAAGAAGTATAAGACCCACATGATCATTTCCAAACATGCAGGAAATGCATTTGACAAAGTACAATATCATTCATCATAAAAACCTCCAACAAAATAGGTTCAGAGGCAACTGCATCAACATAATAAAGCCCATGTATGAAAATGCCACAACTAACATCATCCTTAATGGGGGAAAACTTAAAGCTTTTCCCCTATAGTCAGGAAAAAGACAAGGACGTCCACTCTAAGCACTTTTATTCAACATAGTACTAGAAGTACCAGCCACAGCAAGTAGACAATAAGAAGAAATCAAAGGCATCTGGGATGCCTAGGTGGTTCAATAGTTGAGCATCTGTCTTCAGCTCAGGGAGTGATCCCGGGGTCCTGGGATTGAGTCCCACATCGGGCTCCCTGCATGGAGCCTGCTTCTCCCCCTGCCTATGTCTCTGCCTCTCTGTCAGTGTGTGTGTCTCTCATGAATTAATAAATAAAATCCTAAAAAAAAAAAAAATCAAAGGCATCCACATTGGTAAGGAACAAGTCAACACTTTCACTATTTGCAGATGACATACCACACAGAAGAAACCCAAAACACTCCCACCAAAAAATTACTAGAACTGATTAATGAATTCAATAAAGTTGCAAGATACAAAATCAAGGTACAGAAATCTGTTGCATTTCTATATACCAATAATGAAGCAGCAGAACAAGAATTAAGAAAACAATCCAGGCAGCCCTGGT